CCTTCTCTCAAAAAAACACACCTGCTACGCAGGCTTTAGAACAAAAAAATTAACATTTCAGTTTGTATTGATGATTAAAATTATTACTTATTTATTGATAACTATATTATTTTACAGTACAGTACAGTAGTTATTTGTAAAAAAAAAAAAAAAAAAAAAAAACAGACAATAACAGCGTCTATACCGTACTTTTATTTGTTTAAAAAATGCTTGGGCCTGTAAGAAGTGTTTGTTCCTTGATTTCAATGTTGTATGGAGTATTTCATTGTATAATAACTTAAAAAAAAATAAAGGTTTCTCCTTCAAGGGTTTCACCTATCGCGGGTTCTTTTAGGAACGTAACCCCTGCGATAAACAAGGGTTTACTGTAATGATATTTTTATTGCTTCGCGCCCTGTATCGCCGTTTCCCGCTACGGCTCCTTGTCTCTATCATATTTGCCACTCTGATGATCCATCCTGTGCTGGTGAAGCCTCCTTGAGGAACAGCAAGCGAGCGGACGGTTCTATTTCAGCTCAAGCAGCGCATCAAAAATGTCAGCCTTCCAGCACTGGAAACTTAAGGAGCATTTCATTTACATCTGGTAAAATGGCTCAAATTTAACCTTGCAGTGCAAGAAGTGTTTGCCGGCTATCAACCTGAACCTGCTTGTGTTAGTCTGCAAACTGCGTAAATGGTAGAGCCTGGGGTAGGAACAGAAAAGCGTATGGCCCGATGAGAGGAGTCTGAGAACATCTTATATGCCTGGTGCTGGCATCTCTTCTTGTGGACATCCTGTGATTGCCTGTCAGCAGTTCTCTCTCAGCTTAGTGCTTTTTTAAGGTTCACATTCAGTTCTCAAAAATTAAATGTTGAACATGGGTCAATACTCATTAAAACCTTAAACTAATCAAAAGTAATTAGTTACATTACTTTTTAAAAGTAATCGAAAAAGTTACACTACAATTACATTTTAAACAAGGTAACTTGTAACTGTAACGGATTACATTTTTAAAGTAACTTACCCAACACTGCTGATGGACCTACAGCTACTCAACCCGAACGCTTTCAACAGGGTTTATATTAGGGCTGCAACTAACGATTATTTTAAAAATCGATGAATCGGACGATTATTTTTTTTCGATTAATCGAGACAGAACAAACAAGCAAACAAATACAGGTTGCTCATTAACTGTACTGGTGCAATATGAAAAATAAATGTTTGTGTTAAAACTACACAAACTTACATGATAAATATAG